AAAAACTGGTACTACTGTTAAGTGGCTCTTGACTCTAATCGTTGTCTAATTGTGATTTTCAACCCCCTTACTAAAGTAAGCAATAAGGATTTCTAAAGTAAGTACTAAAGGTTAGACGTGGATTCAAGAAGAATTCGAGAGCCACTTAACAGTAGTAAGGATTTTTATTTTTTGAATTTTGTCGTTATTGCATAGGATCATCAATATATGTATGTATGTATGCACATCCCTTAGTGTAAAATATTTTTATTATATATATTATATAAATTTAAATATATTTAAATTTTTCCTCATATCATCGGCATTTACAGTCGGATCTTAAATTATGATATTTCGATGTTCTTTTCTCGACGAGAAAATTTCATTGACCTCAAGTACCCCGACCTGGTACTTACCCACCAGATCTCAGTTCCTACCACCCTAACGTATCATCCTGTTCTAATTCTTATTGTTTAATGCTGCAACCGCCTAAGCGATATGGACGAGTTCATTGAAGCCACGTCTGTGTCGTCGTTCGAACGGCATGCTGGAGCCAGCGAAGCCGCTGTATTTTAAATCGCTGCGCTATCTCCATGTCATTGTAAAGTTCATATAGCTAGCTCAGCGTTCCACATCTGACTGATTGTTTGATGACAGGAGATACTTCGTTTTGTGTTCATTCAACTTTAGAAAATGCAGAACAGACTACGCGGTCTTTGCTGCCAATAATAATTTTACATTGCATGCCCTTGCGCTCAAGCTCCCAGCGGAGGATCAAGGGAGTTTTCTTTTGAGCTTCTCTTGACCTCCTACCTCCTCTCTTATTATATTCCTTAGTTCATTTAGATAATAACGTATCAATAAGCGAGGAATCAATACAATTTTTAGAATAATTAAAAAAAAAGTGCTTTGATTACTCCTTCGTCGCTCTACTTTGGTACTAGTCCAAAAAAGTTTTAACTGAGTATATTCAGCACCCCAAGCGCAATCACTTGTTTATATTTAGAAGCTACATATGTATGTGTATGTATGTATGTACAGGCATGTTCTGCAATTCACTTCCGAGTGAATTTCAACCAGAGTCACGTTGGATTAAAATTAATAGGGGGTTGAAATGCACTCGGAAGTGAATTGCAGCAGCTGCCTGATAGAGCCATTTTTACAGTCATTAGTGAACTGATGCATTTGTAAACCGACCAACTTTTCATTTCAGTGTATCAATTTTGCTAATAGTTGACTGGTAGTTAATCAGTGCATGTACATCCTTTAGTTAACCATTAGTTAAAAACAGTTATTTTTCTGTTAGTTAACAAACAACTGCAAAAAAAAGGCCTATAGAAATGCCATATGTAAGTACATATATATATATATATGTGTTTCTAGTTTTAATCTTTCAATTTAAAAGCTTTTGGTCGGCGATTAAAAAACACCGACTTGTTTCTATGCGCACGCAGTTGAAATACGTAAAGAATCCAAACGTCAGCATTTGTGTAAACATCTAACAAAATATATGTGCATACATACATATCTACATATGTGTGTATATAATTATGTATTAACATTACACCGGGTCGGTCCCCATAAAACGAAAAAAAAACTTGTAATTCTGCTAAATGTTTGGCAGAGCTTCACCTTTTTCTCTGATTTGTGGTGTGTGTGTGTGTGTGTGTGTGCGGTGTGTCCGGTCTGGATGCTGTTAGACAAAGGGGGGACCCACACGGTTTTATGCCGCCTCCAAATGACAAATGAGGAGCCTTTTCAATGCAAAAATACACTCAGAGGTTTGCCACTGCCTATCGAGGGGCGACCGCTGTTAAGAAAAAGTATTATTTCTGTAATTTTTTGCGATATGTCTTCGACCAGCAGGAATCGAACCTTAGTCTTACGGAGTGGTATCTAGTACGCAACTCTAACCACTCAGCTACAGCTGTCACCGCAGTAGAATATATGTACATATGTAGAGTGATAAGAAATGCACATGTCACTGTGTAATGACAAGGAAAACGCGTGAATGCTTTACAGTTTTTTACACGCAGACGCATGCACATACTAAAACATATCCAAAGTAATTCGAAATCAATTAAGTACATAGATGTGTGTTTTAATGGGTTCACTTCGGACAATACATAAAATTGAGAGTCGAAAAGTTATAAGAGAAGAGCATAAAAACTGACTCAAGAGAAAATCTTGCATTTGATGCTTATCGCCACTAAACCAAAACAATCCGGTTATTGAAGTGGTTTGTATAGACAAATGTAAATATTTAACAATTATTGAAGCTTACATTAATAATAACCTAAGTTACATATGAATACATACATACATACGTCTAGACTGGAATGTCAAGGGGATTTTTAAGCGAATGGCTTTCGAAATGTGTATTTCTTTTTGTATCTTTTCCGCGAAGCCGCTGACGTGAAAGATAAGAATGACTCATTTCCTCTGTTTCTGTTTCTGTTTCTGTTTTCAACATTTAAATGTTCTAATGTACGTACCCGTGTCATGACGTCACGAAAAATGACTACAAAATCTTCCAGCACATCACCTTGTATGGCCATTTGCTGGAGATTCTGGTAATCAGTTGGCCAGTTGTTGTTGTAGCTGCGCAGCATTTTATAACTTAATTAATAATGATGGAAAATCCGAAAAATCCCAAAACACGAAGTTGGCACCTTTTTTTCGAATTGCTTTTGCAAAAACCGATTCTATTTTCGATAACACGAATTAACAGCACCGCAAAGTATTGGTCAATGCACTCGTGCTACCCTTCGATGATCGGATTCCGGAACACTAAATTTATTTCCCTTGGAAAATTACAAACTACTTCAAATTAGGATTTTCCCACGTAAAAAGCTTGAAAGATTCTATACACGGACTTCTATCGCTGCTGGTGCTCCTTTTCGAGTATGTAGCAAAATTTGTCAAAAAATGTTACAAATACATAAACAAACGTTTCGGAAAGGATTACAAATCAAAGTAATTCCAGAAAGTGCAAACTAAATTACTTCGTTGTTTTTGCGTTACGTTATGTAATCACCGCAATTGCAAGCGAGCGCCGAAACGCGTCTTCTATATGAGCATGATGAACAGAGACTGAACTTGGTGTGCTAGGAAGAGATAAGCCCATCAAGCACAAAACATTATCATGTTTTTCCTCTCACCAATACACAGGCAGGCAGAGCCACTTGCTCGGTGCAAAGTACATTGAATTTTATTGTTGTTATTGGCATTTGACGATCAAAAAAGCTCATATAGAACAGCGTTTACATTTGCTGTATGGACACGCGTATACAAATACATATCGCACACCGTCTTCAAAAGAGTCACAACTCAAAATTTGGCATTTTTGAAATTATGCGCTAAAAATGTACACAACACCCTTTATTTACCTTTCAGCAAAAGCTGGAGCAAATTTTTGTTATAATTTGTTAAAAAAAAACCTAAAAAATAGTGGAAATAAGCAAACGATAATTTACAAGACGTCTTAGCGCGGTGCATGGGCAACTGGCTGAGTCAGTGGGATCGTCGGTTCGAATCCTACTGAAAGAAGTCTGATGAGGAAATGTGGTGATTTCCGAAATAGCTATCACTTCTACCATTTTTTCAAATTGTTGATGCTTTTCCACAATAAATTTTTCATTTAAAAATGGCCTCGAGCTCATTATAAAATTGTTGAATATAATTGTTAAATGGCCAAAAAATAACAAAAAACAAATAACTTAAGGACGAGCACACCTAAAGTTAAGCATTCTAAAAATAGAATTATTAGCACAAACCAACAAAACCAACAACCACATGATCAAGTGAATTGCAGCGGAATAGCTGCGCTTGATTGTGTTGGCATAACAAAAATGAAAAAATAGTGGAAATAAGCAAACGATAATTTACAAGACGTCTTAGC